TGTGTGCTGTCTGAGCTTCTACTCTTTCGCCGTAAGTTAAAGAACCCCAACCTGTCGTGTCTAGGGTGTGTGATGCACAAAAGCTTCACCTGCCTAGCACAGTCATGCAGGTTTGCTTTAAAGAGCTAGAAACGCCACATGACCGGCAAAAGCGTGAGCTCTTTTCCTAATGTTCATGCCAAATTTGACGTACTGGACACAAAAGAAAGGTAAGCTGATAATTCCATAAAGATAAGCATGCTCAAAACATACAAGTACCCCAGGGACATGAATTGACAAGGAAAGATGCAATAAACAAATGCAGATAGAATTAAAACAGCAAGATATAAGCGTGAATATGAAGGCCAAAGAGAACCTGACGATCCTCATAATTGTCACACAGACAAGGGATGACACAAAAACACTTTGCTGGGGATCTCTGGCCTCTTCTCACCGCTCCCCTGCTTCTCCTCCTCGCGCGCTCCCTTTGCCTGAGTATTCCCCACAATTTTGGGGCGCCTCACCTCATTCAGTCACGTCTTAGCTTTCGGCTAATACTGTTCACTTACCTACAGTCATTGCCATATACTACCTGCAGTCAAGTAATCGTTCCACTGGAGTGTAGTAGGATGAGCAGCGCCTATACGAGCGAAGTAGCGAGACCGTGAAAGGGTGCCGGCTTGGCCAGCAAGCTATGCGAGCACCCTCCCCACTGCTGGTGGGAACGAGCGCTGGCCGCATCCATAGGGGAAACCCTGAGGCAGTCTGGGAGATATATTCTCCTGCTGAGTTACCAGCATAACCCTAGCCAAAAGCCTTCATGTAATTTTCAACTTTAAGGTTACTAGGTGTTATCGTTGTGACAAACTCGTATTTCTGCCTGCCGGTCCCTTCTAGACTAGAATACGTCACGGTTGCGCCCTGATTCCCTTTGCTTTGATTCTATAGAGGGAGCGGCTTCTACTCTTATCACGGAGCTGGATTCTTACTTTTATGTCTAAACTATAAGGTGCATCATCGGCTCCCAGAAACTACACGGTTTCTCGAGCTGCCCTGTTGAACCCCAGGGCATTACAAGCTCGCCTAGGGTCGTACTCGGACTTAGTTACTATTCCGACTATTTATTACCTACCTGAACATCATTCGCGCCGCCAGTTGGCGAGTTCAAACTATTTTTAAAAGGAAAGTTTAGGTATCTTTCTGAAGAAAGACGATTTACCCCTCCATTCACTGCCCTGGTGAACCCCAGGGCACTACAGCCTGTGCCGAAAGAGTTGCAATGNGATTTACCCCTCCATTCACTGCCCTGGTGAACCCCAGGGCACTACAGCCTGTGCCGAAAGAGTTGCAATGCTATCGTGCCGACGCAGATAAAGATGCACTCACTTCTTATGAATGTTTGAAGGGAAAAGTGGTGTTTCATTAGGGCGAAAACGCATTTCGTTAGAGGACCCAAAACCCTCGACAAGCGATCTTTCCTCTCGAGGCGCATTGCCGCTCGCAGCCCACGTTTCCATCCAGCCCCAAAAACTTCTACAATGCCTTGTTAGCATTCGATACACAGTGTTTCCCCTGCATGAAGATAGTTAAACTCGTTTTTGCCTTGACTCCCTTTGACGCTGTTACATTTGTTTGTTTCCCCGAGTTCCAGACAATTGTGCCGGACATTACAGGGGCCCTCTGCCGGGCCCCCCCCAGCTTTCCGTACAACCGATCGGCGTGTGCTGGGCAACGTAAACGAACCAACTTTCTTCATTAGCTTGAGTGGTTTGGCACCTGTAGGCGTATGGGCAATTTGAGGTGTTTGTGCCTGTTTGCTATCCAGTCGATTATTTCGGTCGCCTGCCCGCCTGCGATGGAAAATGCAGAACGGCAGAAGGGCAGTGCTGGACCTCGGCACAGGCTCTATCAAGGCCGGTTGGGCAGGGGAGGGTAAGGCCCGTTATGTGCTTCCTACATGCTCCGGCGCCGTACGCCGGCGCCCACAGCCGTATTTGAGCGAAGAGTGCTACTGCCTCCAGGAGTACATATGCTCGAGGCCAAGCCAAGGCGGTCTCTGGGCAAATCTAGAGATGTTACGCGACTTAATAGACCTCTCCTTCAGCAAAAAATACCTAGGGGCTGACCCTAAAGAACTCAGCGGTGTCGCTCTTACAGAGCCCCTCCTGACTCCAGCTCCCTTGCGGCACCANAGGATAGCTATTGTTGCAGCACAGGCCGTAATACCCTACGCGTTCTGGGGGATGGGCTGGGGAGCGCAAGACATTTGCGCCCCTCCCAAGGCAAAACGAATGGGAGTTAGTTGCTACAGCGGGCCCGAAGGGGCCCCTCAAGGGATTGTCGGGACACGCGGGGATGCAGAGGCCCCGGGCTGTTGTGTCAAAGGCAAGGGGGGGACGTCGGCTGCATTGGTGTCTTCAACAGACCCATGCTTCTCTCCCCAGCTAGCAACAACAGCACCATCAGCAGACCCCAGCTTAGCGGGTCAGGTGAGCCCTGGAAGGAACCCTTTTGGCTTGACCGTGGATGTTGGCTTCAGCGCCTCCCACGCGGTTCCTTTTGTGAACTACTCTGCTCTGGAAGCCTCAGCTCTGCGGTCCGATATCGGCGGGGCCCACGCCAACGCCTACCTTAAAAACCTGCTGCTCACGCGCGGCCTCAGTCTTGAGAAGAACGAGTTGTTTGCCCAAAAGGTAAGTAAAAAGAAGACAAAAGTAGTGGTCTGGGCCTTAGTGNCTGTCTGACTTGTGCTGCGGCATATGTACAGCTTAAGGAAGAGGCCTGCTTCGTCACTGGGGATCTCATGCGAGTTCTTCGTCTCCTACGCAATCTGCCGGGGGGGCGAGAAACGGCGTACTTTGGGGGGCCCCTCCTTGTGCAGCGGGAGACCCCCGATTATTCTCTCACGGTAAGCAGAGGAGCGCAGCCGCAGGTGCAGCCTGAGGGCAAGGCGTCTGTAAATGCTTTGGGCCGTACTGACCGGCCTATACAACGAAACGTAGAGCACAAAGAGGGGACGTGCATTCTTCCCTTGGGTCCCTCTAGGGGGTCTCTGAAAGCTTTGAATGTGTTGCGCTCCAGAAATCGCAGCTCGCTGCCTACTTCCATACCCACTCTCCGGCCCCCATCCCAGACCTCTCTTTGTTGGAGAAGGCTAGTGACGCCGAAAAGACGAACAGCACTTGCAGCAGCAGCAACGACAACGAGGAGACAACCGCCGAGGCTGTACCTGCATTGGATAGCCATAAAGTACCACAAGAGGCCCCAGAAGATGGTTCTTGGGTGCCTCCTGCGACACCTACAAGGCCCACAGTGAAGCTATCGACGGAGAGACTGGTAGTGCCAGAAATATTGTTCAGGCCTCAAGGCAAGAAAACCACCTTGTTGCAGCCTCGTCCCCTTCCAGTTCGCTCCCTCGAAGGCTTATTTCCGCTGAGCTCTGTTGTTCTTTCTTGCCTTGCTTGCGGCTCGTACCATGGCAACTGAAGGCTTTCTTGTATAGTTGGAAAGGTTTCAAGCCTTGAGCCGCTGACACTAGTGCGCTGCGCCTGCTCTGCTGCAGACGGGGGCAGTACAGAGTGCGGGGTGGGGGAGCTGGTCTACCGCGCAATTTGCAAGGCTCCAATTGAGGCCCAGCCTTTCCTCTCTTCGCAGATATTCCTCGTCGGCGGCAGCACCAAATTCAAAGGGTTTAAAGAGAGGCTGTGGCAAGAACTGCGCGAGTCATTGCCTGAGGTATACAATTGGCACACATTAACTACATTGTGGTCACTGTGCAGCTTCGCTGCTTCCTGTGCTTCCTCTGATTTCTGGTATGTGTGTCGCATATTCCATGCTTGTTTTTGTCAAGCCTCGTTGAGGATTGTCCNTCCTCTGATTTCTGGTATGTGTGTCGCATATTCCATGCTTGTTTTTGTCAAGCCTCGTTGAGGATTGTCCTTCTCCCCAGCCGTCACTCCTCACTGTGATTTGCGGGTTATATGGATTTTGAAGGTTTCATTTATTTGACGATTCGTATATACTGTGTGGGTCTGTTGTGGGATACAAAATGCCTATCATTGTATGCGGCTATGTATTTACACAGCGTGCTGCATTCTGCCTGCCTGCTGCAGCACTGGCCAATAAATATCTACCAGCACGAAGACCCCCAACACAGCGCCTGGCTAGGAGCAAGTAACTGGGCCCACGACGATGGAGTGTACATGCAGTTTTCAGTGTCCAGACAGCAGTTCTTCGAGAATGGATTCATGTAACCGTTACGCTACGTCCGTTTTCAACCTCGCATTCCCTGGCCCTTCTGCTTCACTCGGCGATGTTATCTGTCTCGCGTTCCTTTCACGCAAAAATAGGAAGGCTGCCTCACCACGGAGCCATCGGTCCCCCTATATTCTGGGAACAAACAAACTCAATTGTTTTTTTTTTAAATCTTTCTGTTTCACACGTATCGGCAGCGCGTTATGCACTTCATGACCGCCGCTAAGCGATTGAGGCGAGTTCTTTCCTGCTAATTCACGCAACATATTACATACTTATATATATTAAAAACCGGCAATTGCTCGGCAGAGTCATCCACCCCTTGGGAAACAAGAATCTGGGGAGAGAATGCCTCAAGTAATGCAGTCTATTCCCTCGCAGCTGTGCTACAAGCGCTGCCTTCGCTGCTGCATTGCTGCTGCAGCGTTGCTNTGCAGTCTATTCCCTCGCAGCTGTGCTACAAGCGCTGCCTTCGCTGCTGCATTGCTGCTGCAGCGTTGCTCCTTGTTTGCAGTCACTGCGGGTTACAGAACGCTACATAGGTCGCCCCCCTAACCTCCGCATGCTGCCAGTGAGTTAAAACGTAGCAAAAGTATGGCCTGCTGGTTCATGGGCTGTAAGAAGTGTAAATTGGGTACTCTTCGTCTGCCTGCTGAAGCCTCTTTTCGACGAGTTGCTTCAGCTCGTCCTCGTACAGCTGGCCCAACCGTCGCAGCCACGCCCCCAAGCGGCCCGCCTCTGGGGGCCCCTGCGGCGGTCCATGAGGCCCCCAGGCACTAAGTAGGGCACCGTCGTCCTCACCTAACTGCTTGAGGGTCCGCGGCCCCAACGAACGTATCTCGAGGAGTTGCTGCACTGATGATGCCCAACCAGCTGGAGCCTCGCTTCGCTGCTGTTCGGGCCCCTGGTGCTGCTGGTGGTGCTGCTGAAGGGCGTACAGCTGAAGCGCCGGCAGGCCTCGCAACTGCAGAGGTGGCTGCTGTTGCAGCATGAAGCGTAGGACCCGCTCGTTGTGGCGGAGTTGCTTCATGTTGCAGGCCATCCTGCGCTGTTTCGCAAGCGCCCTTCTGCCCCTAGCTATGACGAGGCTATTGGTGACCCTAACTCCGATTATGGGATATTGCGGGAGCCTAGGCTGTTCATCTTCGAAGATGCGAGTACCCTCAGTACGCCCTAAAGCATCCTGTTGCAGCAGCCTGATAGCAGATACGAGGGCCTTTGATCGGGGATCCCACGATGTGCAGTATATCAGCCCATGCACCTGGCTACTGCCTCTGCCCATTCGTTGCTCCTGCAGTTGTTGCTGGTGCAGCAGTTCCTCAGAGTTCCCAGGCAGGTTGCGGCACCTCCCCCAGTCAACGAAAGTCAATAATGGAGTCACAGTGGATGCCTCCTGCGGCGNGGCAGGTTGCGGCACCTCCCCCAGTCAACGAAAGTCAATAATGGAGTCACAGTGGATGCCTCCTGCGGCGCTCCTGCAGCAGTCGCAGCCACTTCAGGAGAAACGGATGCTGGGTCTTCACTGGGAACACGGGTAGAGGCGGCAAGGGAGGGAGGCAACGCGCACGAATGCACGGGATTGACAGGTCCTAGAAACCCCGCATAGAGCCCACGTGCATGTCTTCCCCAGCACAAACCACTTCCTGCTACTGCAGTGTAAGCCCATGCACACAAGAATAGCAGTACACGCTGGAAGGGCCGGGAGGGAGCCATAGCTCGGTAACGATCGTGGGGGGGGGCCCTTTGGGCCCCGCAGTGCCGGTTCTGGATCCGGCCACTGCAGCACCCTTCAAATCCAGAGAAATAGTCACATAAAACACCAGAAAAATATTTTAATGCGACAGCGGGTCTTATGTGAATAAATAACGAATTCCAGTGTCCAACGCTAGGAACGAACGCGTGNTTAATGCGACAGCGGGTCTTATGTGAATAAATAACGAATTCCAGTGTCCAACGCTAGGAACGAACGCGTGGCAGCGTTTGGGGCTGGCTGTGCCCTTTTCCTGATTACGTTCAATATAGGGGGCAAGACATTCTGCTTGACACATCGTTCTCTTAAGGATATAATTTGAGGTTACTCATAGTTTTGAGTCACCTAAACATTTTTAGCAGCCTTTACACCCAGACAAACTCTGCATGTGTGTGGCTGTTTTTGCCACCCGATGGGCTTCTCGGACGACCCTAGTGTAGGGTTTCGTTCCTGACAAGAGCACACTTCAGCAATAAGCTCATTATTCCGATGTTGCGTTAGACTGTTCCTTTTTCTTGGGGAGTTCCCGCAATATGGGCTCCTCTCTTGCCTGCGCGCCTTCGTTTGCCTGGTGGGTCGATACGTAGCGGTACAACGTCATCGCTTGCGTGTCTTTGTAGGCTCAGGATGTCACTTTTATTTCTTATTTAAGTGCCGACTTAATACGCTAGTCTCCCTTCTTACCAAATGCCGACTTCTTCTGTACCTCAATACGCCTGGCCTCCTTTTGAACTGATGCGCTTCTTGTCTACTTCCCGTTGCACCGGAGCCTCAGCCGACCGCTGTAGCACGGCCTGTGCGACGTTGGTCCGTACGTTTCTGTTTGCGCGAGTTATAGCTACTGGGGGCCAGCTAATTGTTCAACAATTGTGGACAGTGTTAGTGCACGCAGCGAAGGCAGATTGATTGTGCATGCATGCGGGGTTGCCGTGCAGTACGAGTTGTAGCACCTTGCGGTGCAACTCGGATCAGGCTACCCCCTCTGCCCCAACTATCCAGAACTTGCATGGCATTCAGTAGACAGCCTGCACATAAGCAGATATATACTTACCAGTATACAGACTGGCTACATCTTCACCCTACAACAATACAAGCTGGGTAGAGGCAGGTTGTGGCTGTACTCATTCGCTGCCGTTAGCTGCATCTCATTGCTGCAGGTTGGACTAGTTACGTAGCCACTGTCCATGTAAAGCGCCCTGTACATGGAGTGTATCAAGGGTTAGTGCAGGCGCCTTCACTTGGCTTTGGTATGTTACCTGTAAACGCTTGCANCAAAGGAAGCTTCGCTGAATCTTCCTTGCGTGCACGCGTGGCCGTGGCTTGTACTACCAGCCGCAACGGGGTCCGCTGCAACCCCGCTTCTGGCTGCCTCCTCCCCGCAACACGCAACCCCTGAGCTCAACGCCCAGGATGCTTAGGGACAGGGGGAGGAGGTCAGCTGCTTTTCGGAAAATCTTGCTTTAAGTCTTTACCTACATTGCAGCTCGCTTCTGTCCTTGATGAATTCCAGAGGACACGCGTTATATGGAGCGCTGGGTGGGAGCGGCGTTGTAACGCGAGCATTCCCAACTAAAGAAGAATATGCTGCGACGCGCTCACGGTATGTAACAGCAGTGCGTGGATGGGGCAGCGGCCAGGCCAAAACGCAAAGTAGGGGCTCAGAACTACAATATAGACACAGGGGGGTGTTTTTTTCGGCACGGACGCCGTACGTATATGACCCAAAACAAACTGTAAGAAGCAATCTGCACACAAAGGCAAGCATTTATTAGGATGTTGGCATTTTTTGCATGTGACAGGCTACGTGCAAAGTGAACGATAGTCGCGGACCAGGTTTACGCTGGATGATTCCGTTCTACGCCTATAGTTGCTCCCGATGAGTCAAGGCGGCCAGCTCTGTTCCTAATGAACTTCCGCATTGGACGGATTCTCAGAGACGCCACTCCGCATCTTGATATCCTGCACAGGACATGCGAATCCGCAAAAGCCAAGTCAGCAGGGTTGAAAGTACGTGTCAAACGGCATTTGTCGCAGTTCGCACCTGGAAATCCTCTGCTTTCTTCAAGCTTTTCACGAGTTTCCGCGGCAGTCGAGCTCCTTACGCGGTTTGCGGGAGCGCAAGTTGCGTAGGGAACTCGACAGTAGCGGGAGCTCGTGGAGGCGAAATATTCNGACTCTATGAACCTAAGCAGACCGTACTAGAGCTACGAGAAAGGGCTAGACGAGCCATAAGAGCTGCTACTGAGTCAAATGAAACCCATCGGAAGCGGGAAAATGGAACTAGGCCTGGAGGAAACTCCGTGAACTGCTACGAGTGTCAGGGTCGTGGACAGCCTGCACGAGTTTGTCACAGCAAAGGGGACCGAGCCAAGCGTCCGGGCGAGACCTGTAAGAAGTGTGGACGTATGGGGCACTACGCTAGAGACTGCCCTACACCGGGTCGAGCTAGAGCAGAGCCCAAAGGGAAGTCTTGACAACAGCCAACGCGTCCACGTTCCGGCAGTTCTGGACGTAAACGATCGAGCCTAGTCGCTAAGGGAAACGAACGGACTAGGCAGCCTATCAGTGGTAAGGGTGCATTGTGCGCAGTAGCGACAGGACCTAATACCATCGCAGTCTCCCCACGGTGGGGAAGGAAGCTGTACAGTATGTGGGATCGGAGTAGTAGCGTGCCTGCGGAAGCACGGATGTGTCAGCAGTCACCAGCAGAGCAGCCTGAACCGGTACGAAGCGACGCGGGGATACGTNGGAAGCACGGATGTGTCAGCAGTCACCAGCAGAGCAGCCTGAACCGGTACGAAGCGACGCGGGGATACGTCCGAAGAAAGCAAACGAGGAACTGTCACCACAGGTGGCAACTGAGAGCGACCAGCCTGCGGTCTCACTGGCAGATTTGGCTGGGCGTCAACGGGAAGCTCTCCTAGGAAACGGAGTTTCGAGAAGTTGTATCAGACAGACCGAAGATTGTCCACAGCTTAAGGCACAAAGAGTGTTTGAAGGGGAGTTCGAGCGAGAAACAAGCACTGTGCTGCCGCAGTGGTGGCAGAGTCTCTGTCTAAGGGAAGACTTCGGTACAGAGATGGCGTTTAGTAGGGTGCGAACACCTGCGCTACATTGACTGGAAGGGGATGAGAGTCGTTCTGTGGCGTCTTCCGTTGCAGGGGGTCCGGGAAGCCTCACTATCTCTGAGACAATCAAGCGGCAACAGCGTAAGTCCGACACGCGGATAGCCGTCGCGAATGAGAAGTGGTGCGGGCTGCCTAAGGTCCGAACCAGTGCGGAATCGTCGGCAGAGGGCACAAGTGGAGGGGCGGGCCAGACGTCCCCTGTGGAGCAGACGTGTGGGACATTAGTCGAGAAGCGGCAGCACGATCGACACCCTTTCCGCGAAGGGAGGGGGAGGAAGTGCCCGGGCACTCGCAAGCGCACTACTACCACACTCGGTGTCAAGTTGTATCAAAGTGGAGCTCATACACATGTAGTTAGAGCCAAATCATGCCCGCTACAACCCATACACAACAGGCGGATCACTAAGAGGATAGGTACAAGAATAAAGGAAATGAAAGGAAAAAAGAAAAGGAAAAGAAACAAGTAGGCAGAGTTGAAAGAAAAAGAGAGATAAAGATATAATGATGGTAAATAACAAATAAAAAAACGGGATGCGAATAAATATAAAAATTAGCGATAAAAATATAATAGCAGAGGTTGNAATAACAAATAAAAAAACGGGATGCGAATAAATATAAAAATTAGCGATAAAAATATAATAGCAGAGGTTGGAGAAGAAGGGCATAAACGACACCGTGGAGCGGTTTCTGTTCGAAAGAGGGGGGGAAGTCGTGGTGCACAAGCACTACAGTGGATCCCTTGTGTGGCCTCTAGAGGCCTAGTATCATGAAAAGGAATAGACATAGAATATCTCAGGAATTAGGACACTTTTAGATATAAAAGATGCATAATAGGATCAGAGTGCTCGCCAGCCCGCACCGGCTTTGCGGCTGGTTGTGAGGCAGGTGTTGTGACTCTGGCACTGACCATCAGCGAGGGTCAGGGACAGTTCTATTATTCTGGAGTCTCCTTTGGGGACAGAAAATATGAACTCCAATGTGTTTTGGTTGTTTATGGTGTCTATTGGTTATCCTAACTTACTACCTAAAGTAATCCAGCTGTTCTCTATATGTGTTTAGGTAGCTAGATGCAGAGTGTGCATCTAGTCAGAATAGCTTAGGGTTCATACGTAGTAACAGCGAAGGCCAGCTGTTCACTA